CTGTTAGGAATCAAACCCTGGGTCTACATCATGATGAGTGAACGCTTCAACTACTAAGCTACCCACTGCCTCAATTATCAATAAAGCACATATTCTGAAAAATGTCTGTGATAGAAATAGATCTGTGCCATCGGGCTTCCTTCCTATCTTTCTCCCCTGAAAAGTTCACAGTGGAGCTCTTCTGTCAAAGAAGGAAGGCAGCCATTATTCATTCAGCACCAAAATCACTTTATGTTCCTATGACTAAGTAGAACCAAACCAGTACAGGAACACACCAACCGGTATGAACTGTAGTCCATTAGGCAGAATTCAACAACATCTAAATTTATTGATATACTTAGAAACGCGAGTAGGAAAAGGGTTTCCATAGTAATACTTCTCATCCATTAACTGGGTTTTTAGTACTGCAGTCGATCCACCTAAGCTTTTTGACTCACACAAGTAAGTTTATTTACATTTAGAAATCAATACCCAGTTATCAAGGACTACATATCAACGTACTGGTTTTTTTATACTTTAACAGTGAAAAAATTCCTATGGACTTGACTGGAAGAAGTAAGCCTGTGCTCTCAACAACCTCTTTGTTAATAGAAAACAAGATTGCTCTAGCAACCTATGGCTATCATTACATTACGATAATGGCTGGCCAAAAAATTTAGCATCTTCTTTCACAGTTCCGTTTGACATTTCTATGAGAAATCTAATTTCTCTGAAAATGAAAATATCTGTCTACTTAATAAAAAGGACTTAATCCACTGGCCCATGATCCTTCTAGCCTTTTAACACGACAAAAAAGCCAGCATAGAGTAAAATGATGCATCGGGAAAGCTAAGCTCAATGTTGGAAATAAGATAAGTTCTATGGGAACAGAATTGGAAGTGGTGAGTTTCTAGGCGGCATTGTAGTTAGATGGCTTTTATTGATATTCTGTGATGGTACTTTGCTGGGGTACAATCTGCACTACATCGGCAGGGTCTTAGCCAAGAACACCACAATGGGTAAATTCAAGTCATGTCAAAACAAGGAAATCTTTCCCAGACTAAAATACTTCAGTCTGGACTGATATTGATGACTGGATCTTTGACAAGGGCTGGAATGTAAACTAGGCAAGCCCCGACTATGGATTATGGATCATTCCTGTAAGGATGTTGCTTTTTCACAGGATGTTGTAAGTGTGAGGATTTCTTAACTGTCAATAAATATAAACATGCATGAAATATTTACACTTATAGCAGGCAGAATTTGAAATATTTATCCCTTTTGGAAATTCCCATACCAACGAAAGGATACTTTGTACTGCTTGCTCCAAATGTCTTGTCAAAATGCTGAGAATGGCATTGGCACATTTGTAAATACATGTCTTTGAAATGTCAGACAGTACATCCAAAATTGTGACTGAACTGGGTATTCATATAGGTTAATACCTGTTTTTATATGCTCTTGAATTAAACATCCTCTGACATTTAACACACTGTACTCAAGTGACCCCCTGGGGATTATACCTACATCAGATTCCATCTCTACAAAATCTCCGCAATGGATTCAATATACTGTCTGCTGCAGTATATTTCCAATATACAATTTCATATCTACGTCTAATGAGCAGGAAATTGTCTCAAGTCCTTGTTCATCAACAAGCCGCCAAATTAAGTATGGCTGATGAAGATATCGCCCTGATTAAATGTCGGGCTGGCCCAGACACAAGTGCTTTGGCACATACTGACTGTGCTTCAGGTTCCGATCTGGCCTCCTGTGGCCTCCCATGGCCTCCCATGGACAGGGATAATGATTCGAGGTAGGTGAATCTCCCCTTCAAGGCACGTTGCGGATAATGGCTTGTTAGTCAGCCAGGAATCAAACTCTAACTCAATACTGTAGACTGATCTATCTGCAAACAGTCTCGTTATCACCACTGTCATCAGCGGGACGCTCACAGGAATTGCTGACAGTACGCTTTATCTGGATCTGTATGCTAATGTCTCTCGTGGTTTAAGAGATTAGTTTTAAGTCTTCATGTTGATGCAATGAAACTATCGATACCCATCATCTCATTGTGGACTTGTAATGCATTATTTTTCACAATGGTTTTCACTCAGGTACTCTTGTTGGTAGGCCAGTAGTTAGTGCGTATGTTCGTCAAGCTGGAGGCCTGAGTTTGATTCTACCCTTCAGAACACATCCCATTCATAAAATTTCCTGGCAAGACAGTGTTAAAACTATTCATTTTTCACAATCCAGGGCCAACATATCCAGTCATATCATAAGAGGTTTAATGTCTTGGCCTGGCCCTATAATGATAGCATGAATGTCCTTCAGTAATTAAAATGGGCGTGTCAGCTTGATTTGGGAGAAAACCAGAAGTGATGCAGGTCTTTGACATTTACCACTTTGGTGACACCTATGATCAAAATATAACAATCCTAGAAACATAATCTGGGAGAATCTTAGTTTTCGGACCCATGACTGAACCTGGTACTCCTGAGAGTCACAACTCTGCAATGTAATTTGTGGCACCTTAGATGACAGACCGCCCATGCTCTTCTGGAGGTTTTGGTTTTGTTTGTTGTTTAACTCCGCACTCAGCAATATTCCAGCTATATGACGGCGGTCTGTAAATAATCGAGTCTGGACCAAGCAATCCAGTGATTGACATCATGAGCATCGATCTACGCAATTGGGGTACTATGACATGCATCAACCAAGTCAGCGAACCTGACGACCCGATCCCGTTAGTTGCCTCTTACAACAAGCATAGTCGCCTCTTACGGCAAGCATGGGTTGCTAAAGACCTATTCTACCCTGGATCTTCACGGGTCCTCTTCTAGAGGTAATACCAAGAGATGACTATACTGCTCAGCAGCTTCAGAAACAGCACATGACATGTGTGTCCCACAAATCATCACTTAATGAATGCTTCATAGTGTCATAAAGACAATGGACGGGGTTAGCGTCCATTATTGTCAAGACGCGATATTAACTACCATGCACCCATGCAGTTACCTAATTGTTCAGGTGCTATCACAGATGAGTGAGTATGTATTGTTTTATTGATTGTAGCACTATTCCAGCTATAAAACCACAGGCGACACCAAGAACAGACTTCACACACAGCACCCACGTGGAGAACTGAACTCAGGTCATAGGCATCACAATACAGCACTTTAACCACGACGCCACCCACTGCCCATGAAACTGATCCACGCATTGTTCTGACCCCACTTGCAGCAGTAATTAGACATGTCGATGATTTATTTCAAAGAAATATTTCATTAATAATACAAGAATTAGATGAGATCATAAAGGAATAATTCAAGCAATTAATTCAATGATTAATACAAAAGGGCAAAACATCCAGTAATATTACTGAAATATCTGAGGCAGGGATTTACTTTGGTCTATTTATGAAGGATCTCATAATAACTTTTGAGGGTCTCTGGAATTCATAATTAATAATTGGGTGACTACTGTACAAACAGCAAGTAAAATACTGAGTATTTTTTCAGTGATCTATTAATACAATTTTTTTCACCACTATTTTGCCTTTTATGTCCAATGGAATCTGTTTCAGAGGATAATCAAGACTGGTTATTCAATAGCGATGATGTCATATTACATGAATTGAAACTTAGTGCCGAAAATTGATGGTATTTCTGATCAGAAAAATATTACATACATGAATAATTTCAATCATTCCAACACCAATACTCTTTTATTTCCGATGGACCTCACAGTGGATATTACTTGAATCCAATCTTAATTTTAATGCATATAGGATGGAATAATTTGCTTTCAGTAAAACCCTGATATTAAAACATAATAATGATAAAAAAAATTTTTTTTCTAAAATTCAATTCATAAGGAATATTTTCCAAATGAAATATGTATCCCAGCATCCTACAGACAATACCCAGGTGATGAAGCATATCCAATTTACCCCACCTGCTACAGGCCCAACAAGCAGCACTCACTCGCCACTCCGTTACAAGTATTGATTCAGACTATTTCATATGGACATTTCCTCGTCACACAGTAATATCACTATCCCTCTTGATTTGCCTGTATCATCTTGCTCTTTTACATCAGGCAATAACACCCAGTACACTATCACGGTACCATGTTCCTGGAACCAGCTGTTACCTGTGCGACTCTTTCATTACTGTACAATTCCTGCTGTCTTGTTTCTATCACTTCCCTGTTGCTTCCATAATGGAGTAATAAATGGCAAAAAGAAATCAAACGAATTTAATGATTCTCCTTCTGCGACTTTTAATTCAGCACTAAAGTTAATGTCTGTGTAATATATAATTGTGCATTAATGCTCCATCTTTCTACTTTCAAGGGTCTATTTTGCCTTTGGGTAATTCATATACTAAACAAAATAAGTTAGGGATCATGAATATTTTGGGGATATGTTTTGTTGTGAAGACTGAGCACACAATTTCATAGACTAACATATCTTACAGAAAAAACAGTTAACTTATTTTAATAAAAATATAATAAAAAGGAGCCCAGGCACTCTTCATTTACTGCAGTAATCTAGACTTGCCAAACATTATAGACTTGCATGGGCTGTATTGAATATATTTGTTTCAGGGTCGGTATGACAGATGTTTACCTTTTGACCTACACATAGTTACACTAAATTCATAACAAGCTGTTTATGAAACAAATTTTAATAGGAGTCCATTGATTTTTTTCACAACCTTGAAGACAAAATTGTCAACTGATGTGATGTAATTGAAATGAATGTTTTCCATTCAGAAAATACATACTTAACTTATTATGAGTAACTGATGTAAACAAAACAAATACTCTCCTTTGGCTGGATATGGAGTAATTGCAATAAACATGGCCATCAGAAAATGTATGATGTCCGAAAACCTATGCTCAGATGATATTTGTTTAACTTGTAAAATTAGACTGAAAGTCCCATGTTGAATGTTTGTGCTTGATAACAGTGTAGTCTGGCCATGGGTGAAATGAAAAGATGCTTTTCTTACCTGTTGGTTGCAGTTGCCACGGGGACCGACTCTTAGGTATCCACCCCCACTCACTGACGTGTTGCCTTGGTGACACAATTTTATATTTTCCAGAATTTTAGCACGCACATCCTTCATAGGATACACACAGATCGCGGCGTCAGTTCTGTCCATGTCTTCATTGTAGCGGGAGAAAAGTCCGATGAGAATCTCGTCGTCTTCGCCCAAGTAGAGAGAATCGCGTAGTTCAGATGCAGGTTTTATCACAGTGGATGTTTGAATCTCATTGTAATCCATGCCATTATGTTCACATTTTAATGGCACATCAGCATAGGAGAAGAAATTGGGATCTTTCTGACACAGCTGAATAATTTTGGATACATTTTTGGTCATCCTGTTATCGTCAAGTGAATCGCGCTGAACAGTTAGAAAATAACTAAAGTTCCCTGAACTGAAGCCGGAGACATATTTGATTCGATACACAGGACTAATTTCTCTTTTCAGGTAAATTGAAGACGAACGACCTTGTAATGCATTAGTAACTGCAGCTAACGAGAATTTGTCCTTTCTTAAACTACGACTGCTTATGGCAGGCACTTCATCTCTGTATATACGATCTTCCCGCATTCTTCCGGTAAAGGTTGTACCAACGTAGAGAACATCGTGATTGGTTGGGGGTGGTCCTGGGGCGACAAAGGCGACTGTTGACGCATTGGGTTCGTTTGCTCCTACAGCATAATCAGTGACCTGGTCGCCATCATAAAATTCCTTAACTTTTGATACATTGATTAAATTCCTAGTTTCGCACGCCCCTTGGTACACGCTACCGCAAGTGACTAGCTTATTCCTGTTCCGATCAATCAGCAATATTTTGTTGTAGTTGGAAGTTTCGTGTTTTTCATACGAGCAAGAATCAGGAGGGGGGGCACAGTTGGGACTGTCATTCCGAGGACCTGTCTCAGCTTCCACCATCAAAGTCAACTCAGAGTCCAACTGATAAATACGATTGACCCCACCCACATAAACAATACCTGTCTCATTGTCTATAGCCATGTGTGTTAGATGGCGGCCCAGATACATCCCACAAACAAGATGGCCGCATAGCCCCAAAACTAGGGACATAGCGGCAATCTTAACACCCATCTTAGTTGACATCTTGCTTCTTTCTCATCCTCTGCACACGTGTTCTGGATTTAGACGTTGCACCATTAATTCTCCATGTTGGGTGTCTTTTCTCGCCTTTTCTGTTTCCTCACACTTTAAACTTATTTCAAAGTAGCAACAGCGAGCATGTCACATCATCTGAAAACAGAAAGAAGGCGGTTTTACCATTTGTGTGATCCAAGTGGTTGCCACTTAACATAGTTTTGGTGGCAATTATTGCCATCATTTTCCCAGCAAGGCCACTTCGAATTTGCCTCCCTTTGAAGCACTTCAAACGGAATTTACTTTCTGCGTTCTACATGAGCAAGTTATATAAAACACATTTTGATGAGTATTTTTGTGTATTTGCGCGAAAAAGCACTTGTCGTGAATCTCATGTCAAGCCTCTGTGGTGCCAGACTCAACACAACACACTTCAAATCCAGCAAGGCACACTTACAAAAACATACATCTCGTATCTAAACCGAGTAAATTATCACATGTGTACAACCATCTCTAGATCTTCATAAGATGCACACATTTCCATCACTCAAAACTGCACGAATCTCCATTTGATTGATAGAAATCTCAGAAGCATCATTTGAAAAAATTCTTTCTAATTACCTGGTTTAAGAGATAATATCAGAATTTGGTTGCCAAGGCTACCAAAAACTTTCACTGTAATTAGGATTGCCTTGTCTTTGCACAAAAACCACTTCACCAAATCAGTAAAAATATTTCAATCACTTTCCACACAAACCTTTTATGTACACAAGAGACAATAACAAAACTTATTGAATGTGCAAATGAAAACATTTCGAGGCGAAATTCCTTTTATGAAATGGGAACAGATTTCAATAAAGATGAAAAGTTTACACCATGACAAATGAAAGATGACATCTCTTCAGAAAGCTATCATATTTCACTACATAAAAAACATCCCCAACTGATTGAAGTTTCCCAGTGCACAATTAGGTTAACTCAAAGTCATAACGAACATGGCAATAAAATTGGGAGCAGTGTGAGAAATGGTAGTCACTAGGTGAAGCTGTTGGTTGACTGGTGGAAAGAAGACTCCGGTACACTGAGGGCAGACATGTTGGCTGCAACAAGATGGCCAACTCTTCCGCAACATGTGACCAATTATCACCTACTACTCGAGTGGACAAGTACCGCAGGATACAGTATCCACAACCCGCACACAAAAGCTTGATTAGTCAGCGGGTAAATATTATAACACTCGGTGCTTAAACAATTTCTAATTAATTTCAGTCTTCTCTGACAGGAAACACCCCGAAACTATTCAAACTGAAAAATGCTGAACTGCAGAAACGTCAACTAAATTGCTAAAACAGATATTGCGTTACAATACTTGTGTATTTCCCTGACAGTACCACAGCTTGGAGTGAAGAGTAGGAACATTTCCCACACAATAATGGCATCAAACTGCATACACATTCAATTCACAAGTCTGTTATTTGTCTCAACAATGAAACAAATCACCCGGAATTACACAATTACTTCTGCCTGGAACCATTTGCAATTCAGACCAATTACCACAGCCACTAATTAAAGACTGTGACACTGTCACCTGTAATTAGCTCACACCTGTCCAATTAACCTGTCTCAGGTGTAACCTTCTCCACCTCCTTCAAACACATGACTGCCCCCAAAACTGGTCAGCCCTGCTACTCTAACATCTGACCACCGGTCAGTTGTTAATCCCCCCTTCAAAGACTTCCTAAATACCCCCTAAGGCCACATAAAGCCCTTGAGTCAGGTCCCTCACTGATACTTCCCTCCTAACATACATACCCCCTAGGGACTTCTTTCCTTATAAGCTCCGACCCCCCTTGGATTATATCCTCAGCATTAGTAAAAGCAACAGTAACCAAATACAGTGCTGAATAGCTCATTAATGAAACCTAAGTATTTACCCATGTTGATCAGGTGGTAAAAGTCCCGGACAAATTACTACCACTGGGATGAAGCTTTTAAACCGTAATTCCTTCAATTTCCTGGTTTGCTTGCCATACTGGTCAGCATGCCATGCCAGCATGGATACTAATTGACCACAGCACAGGTTGACCAATGTCCATTTGTAGTTGTATTCACTCAGGGAGATTAGATACCGTGGACTTAATCCTGTAATCTGATTACTCAACTGAATGAATAGATAAACAAGCCTAAACTCTAGTGACACATTTAACCTAATACATGCCATGTCAGCATTCTGTTATACATATACCTTCCTCACCGTGTACATGGCGGTTCTGATTGGCACTGATGGGGTTAATGTGAATGCTTAACAGCCAATTTGGGTTAAATTCAGTTAAGGCATTCTCAGTGAAGATTTTATTTCTTTGGGGCAGATGCTTTATTCAAATTTGTCAATTGATTTTAGACAAAATTTAACTGACATTTAAAACGTCAGAATGAAATAAAAGGAACTGAAATTTTATGAATGCACATTTGATTTAGCCTGTTATTGAATTTACAGTTGATGTCTAACATTTCACAGCTTAAGATAGCTTCGATCAAATTGTCAAGTCACAACGAAGGAAAAACTATATAATAAAAATAAGAAAATAAACGAAAAACAAATATAAATGTAATAACATTTGAGATGATCACAAGCACTCGACATCAAGAAACTTCGGTCAGTACCCTCACATTCATTAAAACATAAACAAAAAAAATCTTTTCTTGAACATCAGCATTTTCTCGTTTCCTACAACAATAGTGAATTTGGATTAAAATTAGATTAGAACTAGCAACTACCACGCTTTAACAAGAAGACTTCAAAAGAAGTTGATTTTATCATGTGGATAATTGGCTTTAAAATCAATTTAACTCATCCACAAGTACTACTGCGTTAAAAATGTTCTACCCTGAATATTTTTATGCGAAAGGTGTACTATGTTGTTCTATCCGGGGGCAATTTTCAGTCTGGTTCTAGAAGTTGTAACTTGTAACATTTGTAAGTCTTGTATATGTACATATAACATTAACTGTAAGATTGATCTACATAAGAAAATTTTCGTTGCAGACAAAGTAGAGCATGACCTGGAAGGACCACCCCTATCCCCGAACACAGACCCCCTGAAGTACATAAACACTCAGTCTACGAAAAAGTACGCAATGAGACCGCAGGTACAATTACAGTTAATAGAGTAAAACAAACAGAAGCAAAATTGGGTTGGTCTCTCAGCATCAATACCGGCTCCATCTTCTTGGCACAGAAAAGAAACAAATCTACCAGAAAATACTACAATGCTGCAACCACAAATAAACAAGGTGATTTGTCAAACTTGTTTTCTAACTGCCGACACAAGGCAAGTATAGTTATCAGACATCAGACAAACATATCGTGTTCCTTTAGGTGTTCACACCATCCATATATCTGTGATGAAAAAAACCCCCATCTCAAACAGCAAAAAAGTAATCCATGTAGGTTCAGTTGCAATAAATTCTTGCATAACAAACAATGCCCCTTCTACTTACTCCGACAGGAACAAATACCCATGTATCTTTCGCGGTAATTATGAGTCAACCCCTCACAAACAATGTCAGACAGTTAATACCTGACTTTGTTCGGAACTCCATAGTACAAAAATGGCACCTAACAATCAGAACAAGGGTTTGCTTGTGTTCCGCTGTGTTATGCTAGTGTTCCGGCTCATCTAGGCTGTTGGACATGCAACAGCGACAACAACAGCATGGAAGTCATCGCTCAGCAAACAGACAGACGTAATCTGCACATGAAGATAAGCAACTCTGGCAATTTGGCCTTCCTGAAGCAACATCATTCAAGCAAACTCAGAAAGGAGTTCACACAGGTGAAACCCAGACCCTCCTATATGTTTTTTAACACCATCAATCATCTATTCCCGAAGGAAACCATATTTTCTCACCCATCTAAGGCGGTATGTCACGACTAGTCACCGAACAGTGCAACACCCAAGTACTGAGTCCCAGCCTACCGATATTTCCCACTTATATAACCTTGCCCAGTACAAAGTCTCAGAAAAATGTCCAAATTATGGAGTGAAACCTGAGAGTGTTCACAAGAGGAAATACAGAAAGCCGACTCACTGCTCTCAGGAACTGGGCTGAAGCGTATTTTTTTCGGGCTTTCCTGTCAACTGGCGAGCAATTTAAATTACATTAAAATATCATGGCTCTATGCCGTGTTCTTATAAAACATTCCACAAGCCACATGGTGGCTATTAAACAAGATTTCAGCTGGTGGATATGAATGGATTCAACATTTTAATCTCAATGTTAGCCACTCTCCAGGGTCCTTACCGCAACACACTCACACGAGATACGTGGAAGCTATCGGAATATGCAACATGCCCGCTAAACATGCTTCTCGAGAACAGACTTGGCAAACAGCGAACACAGAATGTGATAAAAATGTATAAAGTTATACTACTTCCATAAGGAAATATCAGAACTTTCCCAACACAAAACAGCTATTCATTAAATATTCTTTGAAATAGTTTCAAAGATGAATAACACTTTGCAAAGTTTAACCCAACATTTTTATCTCAAGTATACAGCTCAAGTATATAGCTCATCTATAATGGACAATATTTAAGAGTTTCCAAAATATTAATTCTTTAAACAAATATGATTCATTATAATTTAGCATCAAGGGTTTTTTTTAAACGATACTTAAAGTTATCTACACTGAAAAGTTCAAGACATCATTATTAGATGTAACTAATATTTTCTACAGCTTTGACAGCATATCTACTTACTGCTGCAGTTTCACATCTACTTTCAGTCATGACAGCTTCCAATAATTAGAAGTAGTTGTAAGGTAAATACACCTCGTTACAACACGATAACACCATTGTCACTCACATAACTGAAACTTGGAACATAACAGTAAATGACAACCACATAAAGCTGCGGCAAAAAGAGATTAAACAGTCCTTAGAGAGTCTCAACTGAAAGACAGATACTAATTGTATTACACGCATTCTAATTTAATGGGTTCGTAAATGAAACCTTTTCATACACAATGAAACACATGGTACCTTATCATGTTACAAAAACAATAAAAGAGTTGAAGATTATTTCCAGTCAATATAAATTTAACATAAATGTCAAGAATAATTATATTAAAGCCCATTAAGCATTGATGAATT